TTTTTTGTTTTTAAATAGTATGGAATATTACAGATGCCCATATCTACTTGATAAATACTGTAAGTGATTAGCGAGGTACAGGAGGTATATTTAAGTTTTATATACAGATGTAGGTTTATGATGGAATATGTGCTAGAAATACTGGAAAAACACATAAGATGATCATAAGTGGTAAAGAGGAAATTTTGCATACATTTACTAGATTTATATGTATAACAGTTTGTCATTGTAAATATATATGCATATTTTCATTGGTGCATTTCCCAAATTTATGTAGTATAGGAGAGTACCAAAGAAAGTAGGGACTTGCACTGCATTATTAGAGATGAGGGGTTACTTGCGTGTCAGAACTTCATTCATCTTGCCCAAGTCTTTTAAACCAATCAAGTAGTGCTGTCATGAAGCCAGATTAATACTATTAAGTGCAGAGTAGCACAAAGACAAGCATGCAACCTGCTGTTCGCAGTTCACCAGCTTTGTATCTATGGCGTTTCCCAGCTTTGAAATGATTTAGTTCTAAAAATATTGTTTTCACATGTTTATCGATTAGCTACAGCAATTGGTTGCAATATGTGGAAAAACCATGCGGTTGGTTAGTGGAGGAAACGCAACTGATTTGGAATTTGATTAAATTATGTAGGCCAAAGCGCCTGTTCCTTAAAGTGACACTAAACTCTGTAGTTAAATCTTAAAAATACATACCTTAACTATTAACAATGTATTTTATTTGTGTATCACTCGGCTGTAGAGCCTCAAATCATCTCTGAATGGGCGCAGACACTGTCCTTCCTGCGCGTCCCTGTGTGTGTGTTGTAAAGTAGGCACTGCTCCAAGCTCACTCCTGTGATTGACTACAATGTCAACATATTAGTAAACTATATGTGAGATTGGAGTGGAGCAGTGTTTACTTTACATCACACACATGGACCATGATGAAGAAAAGTAGCCACCCTCCAGAAGGAAGGATTGTGTCGGCATCAATTCAGAGATGATCTGAGGATCTACAGTGAGTACTACACAAATTAGATACATTTTTGTTAATAGTTAAAGGACTTGATTGTATTTTTAAGAATTAATGCCGGAGTTTAGTGTCCCTTCAACAAGTCCATTTTAAAGTTGGGGACTGATATCTGGGTCCCTGCCTTTTTTCTCTATTGGAATCGGTACAAGTTTTTCCTTGATTTCCATCTCCATGACACTGTATGCATACCATCAACCTAATTACCATGTTGTGACTGACTTTCCTCACAAATGGACCTCTCGATTGGCCATTTATGGAAAAATCAAGGGAAGTGATTATATCGAACAAAAAAAAAAAAATCTTAGAGCTCTTTCATAGCTGTAGCAAAAATTGGCAGTTTATATTAATACCAATTCATACACAAAATACCTGTTTATACTGGTCCCAGATTAAAAAAGTATATAAGTTAGATTCAACGTTTGGATGATGTGACGTGATTGTAGATTCCTTTAACTTATCCTGAAGCAAATAAATGAATTCAGTAAGCTCACTAGGCAGAATAATTGCTCAGTGACAAAACTTCTTTCAGAAACCCCAGTATATACTCAATGTGCCACTGCTGCAAAACCAGACTAATGCGTTGATGAAAAGGGAAACTCTAAGACAATATGATCTGCTTAGTTTACTGCCTTAAAGAATGAATAAACTCATTCCTTTTTCTAAATGCCTTAAATGGCTCAGCCTTAACATATCATATCCAGTTATGGTCCAGTTATCGGTGTGAAAGCCATTGAAAGTTTGGAGAACCTTAAATGGCATATTATTTTGATATTCTGTTTGTTACTAAGACCTGCCTCCTCATATGATTGTTACCTAAAAGACTATACCGGCTATTCTTATGTCCTTTTACCTTTTCTGTGCGCCTAGTTTTTCACATGGTTACAAGAACTTCTTCATTTATATCCCAAGTGCCAGTTTAGTTGCTTTCCCATAGATCAGCAGATTCTCAAAACTTTCTCAAAAATGTCTAGTTTGATTAAGCTAAGGTGTAAGTTTAGTCCAGAACATACATTTGGCTATGTTACAATGAAGACTGCACCTTTTTAATGAGCCCATTACTATTCATCATATCCCTCTCTTTGTCTAGTTTCTTTGTTTATCATGCTGTCAGAAATAGCAGTCTTGGGTGACATTGCTGAACTATACCTATGAAATTACCTATTGAAAATATACTGAATCCAGCCCTAACCATCTCTGTTGACTGTCCTCCACTAGCGTTGTCAGAGATTGGAAACAATGTTCTGGCAGTGCACTTCTTCCCACCCACAGCCTCATCCATGATCAACAGAGCAAGACAGCGGTCACGTGACCACAGGAAAACATGTATAAGATACTTTGAGGCCAGTTTATAAAGAAATCTGGTAATATATAAGGTGCTGCTTCTGTCCTACATAAACCTGTTTATATAAAGTAGCCTTGACTTCTGCTTTTATTTCTGCCACAAAGATAAATCTAATTTAACTGATGCCTTTAAGGTGACAGGAACTAAATGTTGCAAGCAGGTATGTTTTTGAACCATTGTGACATATTAAATTGTATTACATATCAGTTTTCTGAGTAGTCCCTGGGGCTTTTACTCTTGCGCAGTTTACATGCAGATGTATGTAGATGTAATTTTGTTAGATCCTAAATATCAATTTGATGCACCGCTCCCAATTTTAAATATATTTTATAAAAACATTATTTTGTTACGACATTTCAAAAATACATTTCATTTGTGATTAAATAGGATTTTTACGGGAACCCTGTGTAGCACTTAACAGATTTAGAGTACTTAACCCGAACAGTTGTCATCAGAGTGACTAAAACAACAACAACAACACTATCTGACAGCAGTATCAGAAGCTGATACCACCTCTTCTTAACTAGATCGGTACATTCATCATTTTGTTGAACACGTTTAAAGATTCAGTGTATAGATGTTACAAAAAAATATATACACTGATACTGTCATTGTACAATTATTTGGAGGCCGTCTTCCATCCTCATGTTTAAAATTTAGAACTTGATTTTTGTTTAAAATGCTGCTATTTTTTTTTTTCTAATCTTGCCTAATAAAAACTTCCCTTTTGTACATGTTGTATCCCTCCTCTGCTTCAATCTGAATGTTTTCTCATTTCCATGTCTTGGTTAGTCATTATATTGCATACATCATAGTGCAACCCAAAGTACAGATATGTAGCTAGTGATGTGCCCTGTTTTAGAGTGGTTGGATAGGCCTTTATGATATGCACTAGTTTGTGCATCAGTTTGCAGTGCAAAAGGGCCTAGCTTTACTAGAGCTGTTTCTAGTAAGAATCAGCCTCTTATGTCATCATTTTAATACATTTACCATGTGTCAATCCATCTAAGAACAGTTGATCTAAATGACCTATGTAGATCTACACCCAAAGCCCCATATATCTCTGTGGTAGTTATTTTTTATAATTTCCACAGGAACTTGTTATAGTGTAGTCACTGGATGCAGCATTTTAGTGAGCACACAGGTATAGTTGGCTTAACCTCTATTTTTGTCTGGTGTGCATCCTTCATAGTGTTTGTCACGTGAGTTGCATATAGTCAGTAGATAGCTGACCTTTTGTGTGTAGATAGCTGACCTTTTTGTGTGTGTGTGTTAAACTGTGCCATAAAGCAGCTTGCACTGATCATGAACCAGCACAAATGCAGTATGAAGTTTCAGGGAAACCCTGTTCTTTAATATAATGTTTTGATCTGTACTTGTACGTGTCTGTACGCGCATTTAAGAGAGGCTGCTGATTCAATGTTAATGAAAGGTCCTGAAATATAATGAACTTTGTGCTAAGCTATAGCAAAATATCTAACATAAAGCAACTCTGGAATTGTGTGAATATATTTAGAAATTATATGTATTAAAGGCACATTTTATTTTATACCATGACAAAAATAAGATTCTGAAAAATAAAATATAAAAACTTGTGTACTGGTGTGTTTGTTGGACTACTTATTGAGGTACAAATGTATTTTTGGTGTACAGTATTTGACTGGCATGTTGCCAGCTCATTGGTTGATTTGCTTAAGGAACTCCAGGATGTATTCAAATAACCCTTGCAGTGGGGACTACCCCTGCACTGCAAGGGTTAACTGCTCATGTTGGTCTAAGGGCTGGATTAAAGAAGATATACTTACCTGATCCTCTGTCCCACCTGGCTGCTAGACTGGTCTCCCCAGGCTCTGGCAGTCTAAACACCTGTGATGTCATCACGTCTAATGCAGGTCCATTAGACGTGAGGACGCAGAGGGACATACCACATCCTGAGATGAGGGAAAGGACACGCAAGGGAGTGGTACATATGGATGGAGCTCCCTCACGGCCATAGCCCCAGTCCATCCCACCTCAAGCAGACCCTCAACATCAGGCAGCAGATTTTGAATGGCTTCTTGGCAAGAGAACTAACAGGAGGAGCTCACCTAGCATAGTGGAAGGCACATGGCGACCCACTGAACAC